TTTTTTTTTTTTCTTTTTCTTATATATATATATTAATTTTTTTTGCCCTTTTCAGAGTCGTAGCCTTTTTTAAACAACATCCAGACGAGTAAAGCAGGGGGTGCTCATGCAGCGGGTGCCTCCGACACATGCAGGCAGCGCTTGGTTCTTTTTGCTTTTTTTTTTTAAATATTTTTGCGACATTTTCCTGTTTTTTTTTTTTTTTTTTTTTTTTTTTTTTTCCTGGTTTTGAACCAGAATCGCTTTATTTGTTTGGGTTTGTGTTTTTTTTTGTTTTGTTTTGGTTTTTTTTTGTTTTGTTCTCTTGCTTCAGCTCGGGGTGCTCGAGGGAGGGGGTTGTTTGGTTGGTTGGGTTTTTTTTTTTTTTGCATGATGCCATGAAAGGACGGACGCACACGCTCACGGAGGAACCAGCCTGATGGGTGGGAGAGGGAGGAGGGGGAAAAAGGGGGGGTTTGGGGGGCTGGATTTGGGGGATTTTGGGTGAACACCCTCACCCAGCACTGTGCACCCCCTTATTCGGCGTAGGGCACCCCAAAAACCCAGAGCTGGGCACCCCAAACTCCAGAGATGGGCACTCCAAATCCCAGAGATGGGCAACCCAAAAATCCCAGAGCTGGGTACCCCAAACTCCAGAGGTGGGTACCATAAACTCCAGAGCTGGGCACCCAAAAACCCAGAGCTAGGCATCCCAAACCCCAGAGCTGGGCACCCCAAACTCCAGAGCTGGGCACCCCAAAAACCCAGACCTGGGCACCCCAACACCCTCCTGCCCTGCAGGGAGTGCTGGCAGGGGGCTCCTGGGGCAAAGTGGGGACACCCCCCCCCTTGCTATGTGACAGTGGGGTCCCAGCGGGGTGGGTGTCCTGGACACCCATGGGTGCTGCTGGGATGGGGTTGCACTAAGTGCAGCCCACCCTGACACTTTTATGGGTGCCCTGGACACCCATGGGATGGGGTTTGCACTAATACAGGCCCCCCAACACCTTTATGGGTGTCCTGGACACCCATGGGTGCTGCTGAGATGGGGTTTGCACTAAGTGCAATCCCCCCTGACACCTTTATGGGTGTCCTGGACACCCATGGACCCATGGGTGCTTCTGGGATAAGTTGCACTAAGTGCAGCCCCCCAACACCTCTGTGGGTGTCCTGGACACCCCTGGGATGGGGTTGCACTAAGTGCAGCCCCCCAACACCATTATGGGTGCCCTGGACACCCCTGGGATGGGGTTTGCACTGAGTGCAGCCCCCCCAACACCTTTATGGGTGTCCTGGACACCCCTGGGATGGGGTTGCACTGAGTGCAGCCCCCCCAACACCTCTGTGGGTGTCCCTGGGGGGATGTGGGGGTGGCACTTGTCACCCTCACACCTCCCCGGGGTGAAGGGGGGGGTTGTTTGTGCATCTGGGAAGCACCAGGATGGGTGTGGGGGCTGCAAAGCATGGGAGGGGAGGAGGGGACAGGGCAGGGGGAGCGGGGAGGGGGTGATTTCCCCCCCCCCATCCTGGCCTAAGAAGCTGCGGCTTTGCTACAATGATTCACTTTGGTACCAAGAAAAAGAATTAAAAAGGAAATTAAAAGCATCAAGTGACTGCTATTGCTGCCGGGAAGGGGGGGGAATGTCCCACCCCACGGGTGTCAGTGTCCCCAGGGCCACCCAGCCCCGGGGATCTGAGGGATGGGGACGGGGATGGGACAAGGAAAAGTGCTGGAAGGAGGATGGGAACTCAGCACGAGGGCGAAGAAGCCGCTCAGAACCGGCCCTCTCAAAAACCACAAGGAGCTCTAAAGTCTAACCAAGGGATAAAATCCACCCCCTAATATACCAGACGCGATTTATTTCTTCTCTTTTTTTTTTCTCTTTAAATATTTATATATATATATTTATATTACGTATATTATATATATATAATATGTAAATATATTTTTAAAACAATATAAAATGTTAAGACACTTCACTTAAATGTAAAGAGTTGCTTTTTGCAATCCAAAGAAATTGCATCATGATTTTTTTTTTCCTTTTTTTTTTTTTCTTTTTTGTCTTTTTGGTTTTTTTTGTTTTCTCTTTGTTATTCAAAAAAGGCTTCGTTCTTCTGTACAAAAATGATTGAGATACAAAAGAAAAGAGGGGAGGGGGGAGGAAAAGAAGAAAAAGAATTAAAATTAAAAAAAAAAAACAAAACAAAAAAACAAAAACAACCAACCCAAGGACGAATTCAGCCAACGAAAAGGAGTGATTCCATCTTGTGGTGCACTGGGCACACACGTAGAGCACACGCACACACACACACCTGGGCACACCTGGAGCACACCTGGGCACAGCTGGGCACACCTGGGGCACAGCTGGGCACAGCTGAACACACCAGGTGCACACCTGGGCACAACTGGTCCACAACTGGGCACACCTGGGCACTCCTGGAGCACAGCTGGGCACACCTAGAGCACAGCTGGGCACACCTGGTGCACACCTGGAGCACACCTGGAGCATATCTGTGCACAGCTG